GCTTCTACACGCTCTTCCCGTACATCTCTGCGCCGCGCTCGCTCCCATCGGGCTCGGCCTCCTGTCATTCGTGTCGATCATCCTCATCGAGCTCTTTGCCCCTAAGTTCCTCAAGAACGCCTCCATCATCGTCAGCCTCGCGGTGGGCTGCATCGTCGCCGGCGCGGCGAGCTACATCGACGGGAGCACGATCTCGAGCGCGCCGGCGGTCACGTTCCTGTAGGCGCACCGGTTCAGGCTGCGCATGTACCCGCCGGCGATCCTGCCGATGCTGGCCGTGTACGTGTCGGTCGCAATGGAGGCGATCGGCGATATCACCGCGTTGGCCGAAGTGTCGCGCATAGCCGTCAACGGCGAAGAGTTCGACACGCGGATCCAGGATGGGGTGCTGAGCGACGGCGTCGGCGGGCTCATCTCCGCGCTGTGCACTGTCACGCCGCCGTCGATCTTTGCGCAGAACAACGGCGTCACTGCGATCACGCGCTGTGCGAACCGCACCGTGGGGCGTTTCTGCTGCATGTTCCTCATTCTGCTCGGTGTCCTGGGCAAGGTCTCGGGCGTCTTTCTTGCAAGTGCGTCCCATTCCACCTCCCCTCCCAACATCAGCTGACCACGCACTGCAGTACCAAATCCTGCGATAAGCGGCACCACGACGTTTCTATTTGCGTCGGTCGCAGTGTCGGCATTCGCGTGCTCTCGTACCACCGCATCACGCGCCGGGATCGCTTCATCCTCGCGGCCACGCTATCGTTTAGCATCGGCAACCTGATCGTGCCAAGTATCGTCACGCACTTTTTTGACGGCGTGAGCCATCCGAACAAGGGCCTATAGGGTTTCTTTGACTCGATCACGATCGTGCTCAGAACGCCGTGTAAATGTTTTGGATTTTCCGGATGTGAAACACTCTTACTGATCAACATCTCCCCGTCCTCGTCGCAGGTTCATCGCCGCGGTGTTTAACCAGTTGTTGCCGCAGGAAAACGAAGAAGATGGTGAAGATGAACCCGGTGCTGAAGTCATTGACATCGAGGAGCATCGTGTTCGGTCTGAAAAAGAAAAATACGGGGAATGATTTCGAACCTTTATCGGGGCTGTATGCTACATTACTCTCGGTACATAAGCATGTTGGTAGCTTGTGGCGTTCTACAGTAGAGGATGCAGCAATAGCATACCATGCTGCTGTCATATTATTCCTTACACCTTAAAGCTTACCTGAGTAACTATTTGCGTAACGCGCAGATTGTAAGGGAGTAAGTAATAATTGCTAATGACTATTGACTATAACAGTAGAACTAGTCTAATCCCTAAGGCCGCTTACGCATAGAGGCGCGTTCTCATATTGACGCGACACTCTAGTGACAAATATCGTTTCATATCCTCATGTTCGCCCAATGGATCTCAAGCATCGCCAGCTGATGACTTGCAATAATAGAGGACGTCAACGGACACGGCGAATAGAGGGAGACATATCTCGTGATGGACAATCCGGACTAGATGAGCGTAGCTGAGCACAAGGACGGTTGGGAGCCCAGTGAGAACGAGGAGGTGGAGTCAGCTGTGCAGAATGGTGAAGATCGCTGTTGCTGTCACCAACAGAGCTGAATGGCGTGTCCAAGTTGGCTAGTCAGGCCAAGCGGTGGTCCTGGGCGGTTGTCTTCGAAGAATCCCGCGACTCGGAAGACGTCGTGACGACCGTGCTCGTCGGAAGCGCGTGGCTCATCGTGTTAAGCCCCCTGTGGTGTGCGGTATACAGGAGTGGCAACGTTGCGCATACAGGCGACGCGTTCTGCGAGCCCAGCGGCGAATGTGTTTTCGAGCTAGGTTTCACCGGCTGAGGCGGATGCGACCGCGACGACGAAGACGACGAGAGTATGACGCGCTCGAGCAACGACGGCGCGGCGACATACAGGTGGAGGGCTGTTAGCGAGATCAACGTTGCGTCCATGGAATCAGAGCGAGCATACATACATACGCTCTTTGATAGAACGTTCCAGCCTTCGCTCTTTTGAAGATGTCCGCCTCAGAAACGACGCGCAGTTTGTGGTTGGCCATGGCCTCGTCGACACAGGCCTAGAGTTGCTGCATGATGCATGACGTCTCGACGGTGGGCAAGCTCCCAGAATGCACACGAGCTGAGGATATCAGCCATCCTGCGCAGGGTCACGTCTGCGTCAGCACCGACTCCATGAAGACACTGCCTTAGGCGGTACCTACAAGCGACCCGTGGTCCCCTTAAAATTGCCTTGACTGACGGCGTCGAGGCCCTTGCAGTCCTTCTCGCCCGCAGGGATCTTCGCGGAAGGAGACGCGTGTTTCTATTTGGCTGCTCCACTTGATCATTGCACGAGATGACGGCCCATCAGTTCAAAGTGTCGCTCGCGTGGTTGAGCAAGGTCTGCGGGGATATTAGAACGAACTGCGGGGCCCAGAACAGAGTAGCGCCAGCGGCGCAGAAACCCTAACCCCTAGACTCTCTCCGAGCGCCCTCATTACCTCTTCGCCTGCATCCACCACACAGCAATTCGCTGAACACAGGCTTTCACCGAAATGTCATGACCCTGAAAAACATCTAGCTCCTTGTCTACACCGCCCTCAAGGTCTTCCCTTTTGTTCGAGTCATGAGCGCCCCGACGATGCGACTGACCGTCGCGCTCTCCGAGTTGCCGTCTATCCGGCTGTGATGATAATGTGCGTATCTCGCACTTCTCAAGGGGCCCTTCTTTTGACCCTCTGACTTTAGAGCTTATCGCCATGTTGCAGCAGTCAGGCAAATTCGTCATAATTCACTTCGGGCGCGAGCTGGGAGGAAAGGTTGTTGGCTGGAAGTACACCATGAGACTGGGACACGGGTGCGTACGCATACTCACTCTTTGCTAACAATAGTATCGTCTGAGAGAGCGGCGCATGATATCCAGATGCGAGGCCTTGCTGCATGTAACGACGTTCCGCACTCTGGTGCTCGAGGACGCGGCGACGCGAGCAACTCACGAAGACCACCCACGCCCGTGTGTATTCTGGACTTTCATGCACCTTCCGAGCATGCTCTTCAACACCGAGCCTCAAGACCCTTCGCGCATGTGCAATCCTCTGTGCTCCTCGGCCAGGATGGCGAGCAAGGCAGTTGAGACATACTTTTCGAGGCCGCGTTGGCCGTCGGTAGAGTGACTGAAGACGTAGCGCAAGTGCGCGACAAGCATATCTCCGCTTCTGCCTCCCACTCGATTGCGTCTCAGGAAGACTGGTCGCGGCGAGTCTCGCGTCTCATTTTGCCCCACCCAGAAAGGGCTACGACAGGCGCAGGAAGGCGTATGATACGAACATCAAGTCGAAGCTCGGGGGCGAGAATATCACGTGTGTTACCGTATGCGACATAAATGCATCGCTGGGTCGAAGAACAGCATCATGGAGCGGCGCATCGCAAGAATCATCAGCAGTTGGGCTCTGTGTATTGCATAAAGGCGTGCCAGAAGCTGGTGCGTATGCCCGACTTTTGAGACTACTTCGTGTCTCACACAGGCATCAGGACGGATCCAGGCGCAGGGCATCCGTCGCAAAAATCGAACGAAGAAGAACTCCGTACGCTTGCGCTGCGTGATCGTCCCGACGGCCAGATCCCTGTCCTGCTCCCGCTCGAACCTCTCGGAGGCGACCACTGGCCTGCGTCCGGTCCCGAGGGCTGCACCAGCCGGACCAAGGTCAGGTTATGTCAGGCCGGCCACGCATCTATCGCGTCCTTATTTGTCATAGTCGTCGAGATCAACACCCAGCACGCCAAGTCAAACGGGCCCTCAAGGCACTGCGCCCGCTTCCGAACCGGGGCGATAACGACGATTCCGGCGGTTAGGCATTGAGTCGAGCACTTGATAGAGTCAGGGCGGCGTCGAGCGATGAGGGCTTGCTGCAGCGGTGTCAGGTCCATTCTTGTTGCCACGTTCACGGCCAACTTGTCGGCGGCACGAAATCTTTGTTTCTCGTTTACCCTGTCTGTAACTCGCAGATTTCGCAATGCCAAGTTTTCGTCACCCTAGCTTGTTGCGACGTTGCGCGCTGGCCTGTCAAATGAGCACTGACGGACGCAGCTGAGCTATCATCAAATTTGGCATCAAATGTGTGCAGACGGGCTTATCTGGGATGTTGGATCGTACTCTCGTTGATAATGTTCGCCGCTGTAGTTTTGCGCGGTGCGGATGGCGTGGTGCGAGCCGTTAGCGAAGGAAACTGCACAGACAAGGTCCAGTCTGCTGGTGCCTATACGTGTCATTGAGGTGCTGACTCGATGTACATTCCAGTCTATAGTACTCGCTATTATTACGCCTCAGCCTTCAGATGAATGCCAGCCAGAGCTGTAGGCGATAAATGGGGTATATCACTGCTGTGACTGGCAGTGTGATTCTATGTAGAAACGTAAGTACAGTTATCCACCGCTCCTTGAAACAGCCAAATTCTCCGTGCCCATTGACGGCGTTCCACTTTGTGTATTGAGCCAGAACTTCGTATAACTTATACCGCACATCTCTCACATACTCTAGAATATTTTGGAGACCAACAGTGGAGAAATCTGTGAAGGGGAGGGATCCCGCACTTTTGATGGCAATCGCCCCTACCACCACTCGTTGAAACACCCTTTTCTGGCTTGATGAGTAGCCGCTTTACACAGCGCCTCTCCCTCGTACCACCACCATCCCTTGGGCGCCTTCGGGTGATCCCCCTCGAGGGCCTTATTCTACCGAACAACTACCCCTAATAACCCCTAGGATGCTCTCTCTGCATCTTTCGCCATCCTTTCAAGAGGGATTTCACCAAGAAAAGCCCTCCGTCCTTGATGGATGGAGGCCAAACACATCAGATAACACTGAACTGATGGGCACTCAGTGAGTGTCTGTCGGAGAAGCACAATAACCCACCCTCCACCCCCTCCCCTACCTTGTGGAATGGCACCAAATCCTGCCAGGTTATACCTACCTGCACCTCCTACCGACATCTCTTTCGAGGGGTTCCCTGTGGTGGGCCTACAACAGGCTGTCACTACAGATACTTCAGAGACCTGAGGGGCCGGCAGTGTGTGGGAGATGAGCAGCTAAATGCCTAGGTACTGAGGAAGGGGGGGGGAGAGAGGAGGGCTGCGTGCTGTCCATACCGACATGGACACCATGCTTGAGAGGGCACCTCTTGCTCTAATATAGCCTGGAAGTAACCCAGGAGGGAAGTTGGCCAAGGTCTTCTCCTATTTTCCATTGTCACTCACTGCTTCGGACTCTAATGGCCATCGCCTTGATGGACTCTATGGCCCTTATTCCATGCATTTTGGTAGTAATTTATGTGTACATTACCAAATGCCTATTGGGCTGGTAGCACTATAAACCCTTTGAAAGGAAAAAAAAAAAGAGTAACCACTTTAGGCAACTTTACCTGACGAAGCACCCGATCCCGTCCCACGCACCAAGGGCCGGCAGTTTGGTTGGACAACATACGACGTCTCTATCCTTGCTAACAGGTATAGTGTATTCAGAGATGCACTTACAAGCGTCAGTGGAGCTGCCGAAAGGTTTAACTCACGGCTTTAATTTTGAGAAGGCCATCAATGTGCCATCAACATGGGAAAACATACTTTTCCAGCTCTATGGCATGAAATACATGTTCCCTCGTGTTCTAGCATCACTCTGCAAGAGTTCCAGAAAGATTACGTTCACCATGATTTTTCTGCTAATTTAAGTCACCCTGAAAGCTTTGAACTGCGCAATGTTTCAAGGAGTGGTGGTGTTTCAAAGAGCGGTGGATAACTGTACTTGCTCTGCCGCCTATTCAGCAGTGTCTGACCTTTGAGCAATCTACATAGAGTCCATGAGCAGAATCAGTTCACCGCGTACGCCATCCTGAGGTCGTTCAAGGTAACAGCCACAGACATTGCCCTCCGTATGTT